TTTTTGAAGCCATTATTGCACTCGGGTGTTTTGTGTTTCTGTGTTAGAACATAAGTCCTTTGTGTATCTCTTTGGCATTATTATTATTTTTTGAGTCGGAGTCTTACTCTGTTGCCCAGGCTGGAGTGCAGTGGCACAATCATAGCTCACTGCAGCCTCAATCACCTGTGCTCAGGTGGTCCTTCTGCCTCAGCCTCCTGAGTAGCTGGGGACTAAAGGAGCGTGCTACCACACCTGGCTGATATTTTGTAGAGATGAGTTTTCGCTATGTTGTCCAGCCTGGTCTCAAACTCCTAGACTCAAGCAATCTTCCTGTCTTTGGCATTATTCTTAAAATGCTAGTAGAATGATCAGATTTTAAACACTGGACAACTGAGTTCAGTTTTTCTGAAGAGCACTAAGTAGAACAAGTTTGCAGTTAAGGTCTCTGGCTGCTGTAGAACTGGAGGGTAATTGGTGAGCGTCTCCTCTCTGGGGCCCGTCAATTCAAGAGTAATGAGTTCTGGCCACTTCAGACCTGAGGTCATTTCAAACCAGCACAAGTTTCCATTTGTTCTCTTTGTCCAATCTACTCTCTATGTTCACTTATTCATGTGATTCAATTACTCTGAGATCCTAGGGGAGACTGGGATTTAAGAAGAAAAATGACCGACAGCTCCGTATTTTGTATGGCATAAAATACGTAGGATATGTATTCTTCTTCTTCACAGGATGTCCAGGTTAGGCACTAGAAACAATTGATAAAGACAAGAAAGCTTGATAAGACATAAAAAATTATGTGTGTGAGGGGTTAGCGGTAGAAATGGTTTTACTAAAATACTGGAACTGTATCTTCTTAAAATAATGATTCATTTCTCAACAAAATGCCTGATTTCTTTCTTTTTTGAACTTTGGGGAAAACATTGTAAGTTTCAAGTAGGCCTGGTTATTTTCTTGACTATTAAATAAAAATTCCCAAATGAATCATCTGTTGGCCGGACTCAGTAGCTCAGCCTGTAATCCTAGCACTTTGGGAGGCCAAGACAGATGGATTGCCTGAGCATGCGGGTTTGAAACCAGCCTAGGCAACTTGGCAGGACGTCTCTACAAGTCAAAAATTAGCCAGGAGTGGTAGTGCTCGCCTGTAGTTCCGGCTACTTGGAAGGCTGAGGTGGAAGCATCACCAGAGCCCAGCAGGTATCCACTGGGGTGGCCATGAGTATGCCACTGCACACCAGCCTGGGTGACAGATTGAGATTCCAACTCAGAAACAAAAACAAATAATCTATCAGTGAGGATCTGCAAGTATCTCTGCTTCATGAACAGTAACAACATAAAAATGAAATAAACATTTTTCATTTTAAAAGGATCAGAAAAAGGTTAACATTTCTGAACTAAAACCTTGGAAAACAGAGTTCTTGGTACATAATTCTGTGTCTTATTTCATGATTCTGTTGTCTTATGGAGATTTGTGGATTGAGTCATACTTCATGAGGGGTTAGCTTCATTTCAGAGATGAATTCACAAAAGACTGTCTTCCATCTCAGGTGCTTGCTTGCTCAATACTGGATCACGTCCTCCAGAAAGTCTGCTTTCAAGTCATAAGAACATTCAGGAAAGCTATGGACAGGCCCATAGGAATAGAGGTCATGAGCCAACAGCCAGCAAGGAGCTGCCAAAGACTGAGTGAGCTAACCTGGACATCATGTGCAGAAGTATCATACATATCCTACAGATTTATTCATCACCAAGCATACAAATGTAGGAATAGTTAGTATTCTAGAAATAGAGTGACGAAGGTGCTATATATCTATGAGGATTGATGGGGTGGTTATAAAAAATGCTGCTGGCTAGCAAGAGAAATAGAGCTAGGATGATGCCAGACAGAAGAAAACAAAAACAAAACAACCCAGTTAGCTATTTTTCTAATCATTTAGACTTAAGGTTTTACCAATATTTAAGTGAGTTTGGTAGTTGACTGCAGAACCATATGTAGCTATGTGTTTAATAATTGCAAATATTTACTCTTAAATTCACTTGCAGTATCTAAATTAGTGAATTCATTCCACAACATAAGGTTGGGGAAACTCAAGTGATCTTTTAACTTATCCTTATTAAATCCTAAATTATAAGAATCACTTCAGATGTTAAGAACCAAGGATCTAATCAACTTGTTTATGTATTTTCTGAACGGATGATTGTGGCTTTATAACAAATTACGCCTATTTAGGAGTAATTTGCTTAAAACAACATTTACCTCTCATAGTTTCTGAGGCTCATGAATCTGGGAGTGGTTTAGTTGTAGTCAGTCATCTAGGTCAGGGGCTGCAGTGATCCCAAAGCTTGCCTGGGGCTGGAGGATTCCTTCCAAGCTCATACACAGCCCTTGGCAGCTCCTTACTGGCTGTTGGTTGCTGACCTCTGTTCCTATGGTCCTCTCCATAGCTTTCCTGAGTGTTCTTATGACATGAAAGCGGGATTCCTTGAGCATGTGATCCAATATTGAGCAAGCAAGCGAGCGAGCGAGCAAGCAAGCACCTGAGATGGAAGACAGTCTATTATGAACTAATCTCTGAAGTGACATGCCATCACTTCTGCTGCCTGCTACTGGTCACAGAGACCCACCCTGGTCAGTGTGGAAGAGAACTGACTATCCAATGGTGTGAACATCAGAATGCAGGGACCATTGGTGTCCATCTTGGAGACTGTCTACCACAGTGGCTACCAAATCTGAGTTATTTATATTACACTGGAAACTATTAAAAGAATGACCTAGTAGTTTTTTGGGGTTTTTTTTTTTTTTGGGTTGGAGTCTCACTCTGTCGCCCAGGCTGGAGTACAGTGTCACGCTCATGGCCACCTCAGGTGATTCTTCTGCCTCAGCATTCCAAGTAGCTGGGAGTACAGGCACATGCCACTAAGCCGTTAATTTTTGGATTTCTTGAAGAGATGAGGTCTCGAACCTGTGCAATCAGGCAATCCTCTCACCTCCGTCTCCCAATGTGCTAGGATTATAGGCATGAGCCACTGAGCCTGACCAACTTAGCAGTTTTAATTTTAAATGTATTTACATTGTGCTGGAAATTTCAAACCTAGCAACTACCAGCATTTATAATGAAAAAAATTCAAAAATATACCTAAAAATTAAAAAATGTATATATTTTTAGAAAGTTATTTTGAGGGAAATAAAAATTTGAAGACTAGTGACTTCTACAATAGTCTGAGTATCCAGTGTATCCTTATCATGTTTCTCTGGCTCTTTATCTCTCCCAAGTAGTGCTCTTTTATCTCAAAAGCATGGACAACTGATAAATGAAAGATGAGCTTCAAATTGGACTTATAATTTGGGTAGTAATTTGTGAATTGAAAAGATTACTTGAAGTCAGGACTGTCCAAATCTAGGACTTCTGGTTCTAAGAAAATGGGTCAGGAGCTTTAATGTTTTTAAAACAACATTAAACAGATAGCTAAGTGCCTTCTATGAACAAGGCACTGTACAAGAGCTGTGGAGGACACCAAAAGAATACAATCTATAATATACCGAAGTGATAAGCTGGAGAGTATGGTACCTGGATCCTCAGAGAAGAAATAGGATGGCATTTTGAAACGTATACCAAAAACTATATGCAACTGACACATTTTTACGGAACATAATTTTTTAACGAGTTGTGTACATTTGCAGAGGTGAAATTCTGCTTTTTGATTAGAAATGCCATCAATGTATGTTCAAGCAGAACATTTTATACTTCAGAGCAGGTTCGGGTGACTTAAGCCAAAAATATGCAAAGCCATGAATTATGGATGAAAACTGTTGAAAAAAAGATGCTGATATTTTACTGGAGCATACCACAGTGAACATTAATTTCAACCACAGCTTGAATATTTTATTAGGAGGAAGCCTTGAAACTCGACTAGGACTTGTATTTTAGTCCTAACAACTTACCATTTCATAACCCAAGCCGTCCTACTCACTCTTAGTAGAAAACGTGTGATGTTCTACTTGCATAAACTTTAGCTGAACAACACACCCCTAACGTTCTCAGAATGTTTCATTCAGCACCATACAGGCTCACTAAACCAGAACTAAAATTATGCACACCAAATTGCCCTGGTAATGTCCAGTCTAAGCTAAACGGACCAAGTATAGGACTGAAATTAAGAAGCGGGTGGAGGCCGGGCGCGGTGGCGCGCGCCTGTAGTTCCTGCTACTGACATTGGAGTGGCCATGAGCGTGCCACTGCACTCCAGCTTCGGAGACGGAGTGAGACTCCACAACTCCAAAAAAAAAGAAGTGGATGGGAAGACTCCAGCTTCTGTACTCACAGATAAAGTCCTAGGATTCTAGTTTCTGGAAATGCCCGTAGACCCCGTCCCTACAGCGGGGCCATGGACCAAATGTACACTCAGGAAACGTCTGTTTCTTTTTCCCTCAAATCCTTTCTCGTGTCAATGAACGGACGGAAGCCAGACAGACGTCGCGGCTGAGAGACGCGGAGCCAGATACCTGATCTGCGTCGGGAGGCTGGTCGTGCAGAAGCCGGCGCGTGGCCGCGAGGTCTCTTCCAGGGGCCCAGCCTTCATCCCTACGGCACTCTGCGGCCGGCTTCATGCTCCCGCCCTCCCACTGGAGCGCACCAGGCAGAGCACTTGAGGCATCAAGGCAGGCGCGCCTTCTCGTGCGACCCGGGAAAGCCGGGCCCCGGGCCGGTTTTTACAGCCCCTTTACTAAAAAGATAACAAGGATCCCAACTAGACGTGAGCACTGAGACAAAGGAGGCGGCCTGAGCACACGCCTCTGAGGCCCGCTCGCAAGCTTTCCCCTCCCCTCGCCGCGGTCACTCGGGGACAGATGCAAGGCCCGGCTAGGTCAAGTAAGGACGTCGCGGCCAGACGCCAGGCAGTCGCCGACGAAATCCCAGCGGAGGGGAAAATGGCGGCGCGGGGCGGGGCAAACGAGCCTCCCGGCATGCCGCGCGGTGCCCTGCTTCCGGCTGTGGGCGGTGCGGGGGTCGGCGGCGGCCGGAAGCGGGCTGAGCCGGTCTCTCCGAGCGCCACTTGCGCTTCCGGGGGCCTCGGCTGAGGTCTACTGTGTTCCGGGGAGGCGGCGCGAGAGGGAGAAGAGGTTTGAGCGGCCGGCCCAGGCCGGGCAGACCTCCTTCCCAGATGTGAGCAGTTTCGCGAACCTCCGTCAGGCGAAGGCTGCCCAGAGAGGAGAGCCGGTGGCTGGGCCGGGAACATGAGGCAGTGTCTGCTGTTCCTGACCAGCTTGGTTCCTTTCGTGCTGGCGCCGCGACCTCCAGACGATCCGGGCTTCGATTCCCACCAGCGAGTCGGTAAAGACCCGGGGAGTGGGCTTAGGCCGGTGCCCGGCGCCTGGAGCGCGCTCCTTGGAGGGAAGAGCAGGGGAGCTGGATCTATCAGGTGTTTGGGGGCGGGGTTTTGGTCGATGTGCCGCGTCCCGAAGTTTTCAAAGTAGAAAGGGGGTGTGGCTCGCCTAGTTGAGGGAAAGAATAAAGGAGAGGAGCTTGTCTCCCTGAGTGGGAAAGGGGTACCTGAGGGGTTTCCCGTAGTGACTGGGCGTCTTGGAGGGGGTCTGCTTCCTAGGTTTGTGTTTGTGGGGTGTGTTGGGAAAGCGGTAAGGAGGGCTGGGGGCAGCTGGCTCGTGTTTGGAGAGGGGGCTGTGGTCAAGTTCTCTGCCCTGGTAACGAACAAATCTAGTGTGTTGTGTGTTCTTACCGAAGGCAGGGCCCCAAGCTCCAGAGTGCCTCTTTACTCTCTAAGGAGGAACCTAGAATTTCTACTGTAGGAGCTTCTTACGCAGCAATGTGATTGGAAGGCGGCGACTGGAGTTTTGGAGTTGCGTTTTGCAAACTTCCTAAGCACGTTCTTAGTTTTATTTAAATTGTAGCTTATCGGAGATGCTTGGGGGTGGGGGAAGCTAAAACCTGACAAGCCAATTTGTGATGCTGCCACTGTGAATGCTTTCCTTGCATTGTTAAAGAAGGAAATGATCAGGGATGACGAGTCTGATCAGTTTAGAGTCCAGAAATTAGAGAGTTCCTATTTAATTTTATTTTGTCCAGAGAGATTGGGCTTTAAGGATGGGCCTACATTAAGAGATGTGAAGTTTGGTGGAATCTTCCAGTGTATCTTAGGGTCCTTTATCTTTTAAAAGTTTAGATGTAAGACAGTTTGATGAATTTGTAGTGAAGCGTTAAGTGGTAGCCTTGTCATTTTTCATGGTTGTATTGTCCCCAAATCCCACCGTGGGACCGTGTACAGTATTATGCAGATTGAAACACCATGTGGGTTTTCCGCATGGCTCATCAAAGTTTTTGCATTAGTTTGTTACCTGTCATTTTTTGCCTTATTTAATGGACTGGAATTGTAATTGACTAATGAATATTAAAGGTCTGCTGTGTTCCGGGGAGGCGGCGGTGTTGAGAATGTTCTCACCTGAACAATTGCCTTGTGGTTGTCTCAGACTGAGATGATTACAAATGACTAGATTAATAAAGAAAAGTGCTGAGATTTTGAAGTAGAGGAGTGGTTAGGATGGAGCAGCAGGGTAAGGATATGTTTCATTTTAAGGATAAATGTTAATAAAAAGAATAAACATGTATTTTAACATACTAGAATTATATTTGCGCTACCCTAACACAGCTGTTTCACTTATGTTATTATATTGGAGTTCACAGGTGGAAAAATAAACATTAAGGAAGCATACAGTTTAGAGTAAAACATTACTTTCTACATCAGTGTACAACACTTGCATATCATGAGGTTTTTTGTTTTTTGGGTTTTTTTTGAGTTGGAGTCTCACTCCATCACCTAGGCTGGAGGGCAATGGCATGCTCACGGCCACCCCAGCATCGACCTGCTAGACTCAGGCGATCCTTCCGCCTCAGCCTTCCAAGTAGTTGGAACTACAGGTGTGCACTACCATGCCCAGCTAATCTTTCAATTTATTGTAGAGATGATGTCTACCAAGTTGCCCAGGCTGTTCTCGACCCTGTGGGCTCAGGCAGTCCTCTCACCAAAGTGCTGGGATTAAAGGCTTCATCCATTGCGCCCGGCCATGTTTTGTTTTTTAATTTGCAAAGTGCAGACTATCAGTGCCAGAAAAATACATAGACTTATCCATTTATTCACCAAGTATTTAAGGAACACATATTGTCTGCCAAGTATTATGTGTGGCATTGGAAATACAAAGATTTCTGTCTTCAGAAACCAATGGTGGAGTGAAATAGATGTATGGAGAGCTAAACAGTCACTTTTGGAGGAGAGTACTAGAGCACATTATGGCAGTATTGTCAGTAAGGGGCACTAAACTCAGCCTGGGAAGGTTACAGAAGGTGATACTTGAGCCTAGACTTTAAATTCAGGTAGGTGAAGGGGGAAAATAAGGACACTTCTGATGGAGGAACTTAGAGACTGAAATGAACCTTTCATTGTAGAGAACCTTTCTCTTTTAGACATTGTCTTTTTTTTTTTTAATAAAGAGGCAGAAAAAAATGAGTCTCAGAAAGATGCAGTTAGTTGTCAAGTTCACAGTGATGAACATTTGCCTTGTGGGTATTTTTTCTTTAAAGGATGGCTTTTTGTGTTTGTTTGACAGCACAGGATGTAATTTGTTGCTTAACTTAATCCTAGTTTTATTTAGCTTTAGTTGATCAAGACTAACAAATAGTTTCATAGTTAAAGAGCATGGTTTATTATTTTATTTTTTTAATTTTAAAATAAGGATGTGGGATACTGTTCAGGGGTTTATTATTTATTGTTTGTTTATTCTATAAATGTAACCATAGCTGCACCACTAAATATTGATTAAACACAAGACAACATTTTTCTGAAGGGCAAAAAAATGTATAATACACAGAAGCCTGGCTTTTGGAGTACTCTGTAGGTCACCAATTATGACTTCAGTGAAACTGTTATGCATTGCATAATTTAGGAAAGTTATGGGTCATATGAGCTTAGTCATGATGATATCTTGTTGAAGTTGCAGCTGGGGTGTATAAGTCTCACTTTGATTTCAAAATTGTTTACCCCTGTGTTTTAATAAAAGAGAATATAGTGGGTGGAAGGAAAAAATATAGGTCACAGATGAGGGAAAGTTTGTCTCTGAAACATACATTTTGAAATTTACCTTGAGGTTTTTGGCATGGAAAATCTTCATATTACAGTACTTATTTCATTATTGACAGCACTATTTTTTCAGTATTTTGATATCTGGCTTTGTCTTTTGTTGTTAATTTTGCTTATAGGCTGCATTCCTTTGAAACCTAAACACTTTATCACCCTAACTGCTCCAGGAGAGCCGGGGAGATTTAATGTAACTCTACTTTGTCATAGTCAATGGGATAAACTGTATTTCTACAATAGAGTGGGGAGAAAAGTCAAGAAGAGAGCTATGATGGAGAAACTTGAGGAATCCTTTGGTCTTTCACAGAATTTTCCAGAACATTATGCATAGGCCAAATGTGGTTGATTTTTTAAATCTTTGACTATTTTGTATTTGTGAGAGATAGTAGGTGTACAATCTACAAGCTGTACGTATAATTTGAAGAAAGTCTGAGAAAGATTGGTAGGAAGGGAGGGACATTGAGGTAGGAAAGTGAGATGAGGGACTTTTCATCTACAGATTAAGCATCCCTAGTCTGAAATGCTCTACAATCTGAAACTTTCTGAGCGCTGACATGACATCACAGGTTACCCTGAACACACGGGGTTTTTTTTTTGAGTTGGAGTCTCTGTCACCCAGGCTGGAGTGCAGTGGCATACTCACAGCCACCCCAGCATCGACCTGCTGGGCTCAGGTGATCCTTACTCCTCAGCCTTCCAAGTAGCTGGAACTATAGGTGCGTGCTATCATGCCCAGCTAATTTTTTGATTTATTGTAGAGACGAGGTCTCACCAAGTTGCCCAGTCTGGTCTCGAACCTGCCGGCTCAGGCAATCTACTTGCTTTGGCCTCCCAAAGTGCTGGGATTACAGACTGAGCCACTAAGCCCGGCCAACACACTGTTTTTTTCATTGTATTAATAGTGTGCCATATTTTTTACTGTGAAGAACGTATGTGTGAATAACTATAAGAAAATGATTGCTTGTTGGTAGCATGTAAATTCAGAGTCAGAAAGGATGGTGATGCCAAGTACCAGTTGTCCACATGGATGGTTGAGATAGTGACACCTTTGCTTTCTGATAGTTCAACGTACACAGACTTTGTTTCATGCAAAACTAATTTTAAAATATTGTGTAAAGTTACCTTTAGGCTGTGTGTATAAGGTGTATATGAAACATCAATGAATTTTGTATTTAGACTTGGATCCCATTCCAAAAATGGTGTTATGTATATGCAGGTATTTCAAATTTTCAAAAAAATCTGAAGCATGAAGAACATCTAACCCAAACATTTTGGATCAGGGATATTCAACCTATACCTCTTAGTCCTAAAGTCAGCCAAGAAGATGAGTATCTCCCTCCCTCCCCCACTTCCTTCTTTTTTTTTTTTTTTTCTTTTAACATGAGCTATATAGGCTTTGACACATCTTATCCACAGCCCTGGTTTCACTTACTTTTTGACTGTGTTCTGCTAACTACTAACCATGTATCTCTGCCCTGGGCTTGTTCTCGGAAGCTGGGCTGGGCGCAGCGCAGTGGCTCACTCCTGTAATCCAAGCACTTTGGGAGGCAGAGATGAGAAGATTGCCTGAACTCATGGGTTCAAGACCAGTCTGGGCTACTTGGCAAGACCTTGTCTCTACAATAAATTAAGAAAAATTAGCTGGGCATGGTAGTTCCAGCTACTTGGAAGGCTGAGGCGGAAGCATCGCCAGGGACCAACAGGTCGAGGCTGCAGTGGCCATGAGCGTGCCACTGCACTCCAGCCTGGGCAACAGAGTAAGACTCCAACTCAAAAAAAAAAAAAACCCCAGAAAAACAAAAAAAACCAGCCTGCCCATTTGATGTTAACACCTCAGTGTTAACAGGCACTTCAAATATAGCATGTCCAAAGTTACTTATAATCTACTCTTTTGCTTAGAAGAATGAGCATGGGACACAAGTTTAGTCTAGGACTAGACGGGAGTGTTGGGAATTGTGTAAGTGTTCTCATTGCCTAACCTGAACTTGCCTCCAGGTTACTGATCTTGCTGGAGTCTTAGCCCAGATTAAGATCCAGTCCTGAGCTGTGCTCGGTGGCTCAGCCTGTAATCCCGCGCCTTGGGAGGCTGAGGTGAGTGGATTGTCTGAGCCTGTGGGTTTGAGACCCGCCTGGGCAACTTGGCGAGACCTCACCTCTACAATAAATCAAAAATCAGCCGGGTTTGGTA